TGGTTGTGGTTTAGCAAGAAAAGTAATTTCTTGCTGAATGCAAAATAAGGGTTAGGGAGAGGGAAACGGAAGAAGAACCAACAAAGAAGACAGATGTATGGGCCGCAGCAAGGGACAAAATGTGTTAGAGAGAATCTAGAAGGTCAAAATCCAGGCCAGCTGGTTATTGTGAGAGTAAGGGAAGGGATACAGGGAGAGAGAAGCTACCAGAATGGGAAAAGTTGCTAAGGGATAGGACCCCGCCACCTTCTGTTCCCATAACCTCATTCATTTCCTTAACCCTCCTTTCCAATCCCTCTCAGGCTGCTCTGCTCCTTTAGCTCTGACCCCATTTCCTCAGGATTTAGTTCCCTGAGGAGCCCGGTCTGACATTTCAGACAGAGGCTGAGGAAAGGAGGTAGGTCAGAAAGAGACACTGTGTGCCTGCGTCATCTTTATATTCTGCTTTATTATTTTGGAACTATGGGGCCAAAGACGTACGTGCAGACATTTACCAGGAAGTTGAAAGCTGGTCCCCTAGGGAAGAAAGGCTATCAAGACTTCTCTACTCTCTGCTGAACAATGAATTGCTACTCGTTGTCATATTTCAGAAGGTAGAAATGCCATATTTGTGGCATACATGGATGCCCAGGGTGGAACGTGAGCCTTCAGAATTGTGAAGTTCCCCTGGTTACTGTATCCTTTCTTAATCTAGTGACCACTGCTGTAAGGCCTCCCTGCTGACTCTGACCTATCAGTTTTCCCAGAGCCTTTTAATCCTAGGCAATCCTTTAGGGTCTTTTAAGGCCCCAGGGTTTTATAGCGTCTGCCTGAGGAAAGGCTGTTCTGACTCAGGCCGGTAGGAAAAATAATTCCAGTTCCGTAAATTCTTACCTGCAGCAGCTGTGGACATCCCAAAAGCAACCTGAGATCAAGGGTCTTCTGGATTTGCTGTTAGGACCCCTTATACACCAGGTGTGCCAGTACATGCCTTCAATCCCAGCACTTGGGTTAGCAAAGGCAGGCATAGCTCTATAGAGCTTCAAGCCAGCTAGGATTCTATAGTGAGATTTTTCTCAAAAACAAACAAAAATCTTAAATAATTTAGTTTGCAATAGATGAAAAACTATTGATATACTTGCTGTATGTAATCCTTTACCTCTGATTTTGAGCACCTGACTCTGGCCAAAGTTGTTGTTTTTTCCTTTTTGTAACAGAGTCTTATGAATCCTAGAATGGCCAAGGATGATCTTAAACTAATAAACTTCCTTCCTGATCCTCTGTCCAAAGCATGTTTCTATAACCACGCTCAGTTTGATGTGGTACTGGGAATGGAACCCAGGGAGACAAGCACTTTACTGACTAAACTATATCTGAAAGCAGAAACCAGGTCATGACCTCCTGTTGGAAAAGTATCTAGCTCATACCATTCCTGTGTAGAAGCTTCAAAGCCCTCTGGGCTGTGACCCTCAAGCTAGGAACCACTTCTTTTCATTTTAATTGTGTGTGCTTGTGTGTGTGTGTCCCCTGACATGCTTGTGGAGGTACAGGTGACAACTGTGGAAGTCAGTTCTCTCCTTCCATTATGTGGGCTCCAGGAATCAAATTCAGGTGGTCAGGCTTGATGGTATTTGCTGAGTCGTTCTCCTAGGAAGCCCATCTTGAAAATTTCTGCTATTCCCTAAGCTCAGAGTAGGACACATAGTAGTCATCTCAACAAATCTGTGAAGAAATAATTGTGGGCAATGATGTTAATAAGGATGACAAAGAAAACAATAATAAGCAAGAAGGTGCTTTGTAATGGGCGGCATCTCCCCTGAGTATCACACAGCCTCCTCAGAGCCTTGACTGTGGACTCTTTCATTAGTAGAAGCAAACAAGGGCCAAGCTTCAGATGAGGTCCTTATCCTGCCATCATACCCATGCTAGGGGAAGCTATCAGGTATGGAAAAGCGAACAAGAGACAGCTGTTTGGGCATGATACCTAATAGAGGACAAGGATTATATTTATGCCTTCCTTCTATGGCTTGAGCTAGGGTCAACTTCAGTATCTTGTGCCAGCAACTTATCAGGAAAGACCATAGCTTTCTGTACTCAGAAGATCCAACTTTTCATTTGTGCCACTTTTAGTGATTCTTTTTCTACCATCTAGGTCCTCAATACTGCCACCTTGGCTATGGAAAAATGTTTAAATCTTGTTTCTTTGAACTGTCTATCTAACTTCTCTCTCCCAGACAAAATTACATTTTTACATATATAAAATAATGTGTCAATTTATTCTTAATGACAAGTCTGTAAGGTTAATGGATTGGGGTGATTCTTGCACAGCGAGAGGAAGTCAACTGCCTATTATGTTTCAAAATCCCTCAGTCCAGGGCTTTGATCACTAACACACACTTAAAATACTTATCCAGTAAAAGCCACTCATCATGGCCTGAGACTATCTAAGGATCTATATACATGTGAGGAGTCCTAAAATAGTATACATTATCAGACACATTTTCAAGAGACCACACAGTTCACCCTTTTTCTCTCAGGCAGTTCCAGCGGTCAGGAAGTTGAGTGTTAGTTGGGAAAGTATTTGAAGCTGGAGTCAAAACCTAGGCTGGAAGTCCTGCGTCTGCCAAAAGATCTTGAGCAAGCATTCCAGCCGCTGTGACCTAACTAACCTCTTATAGAGTGAAGACAATCCTATTTGCATTTCCTACATTCCAGACCTATTGTGAGAATTAAAGAAGACAGTGATGTGAACGCTGTAATGCACTAGACGGATGTCAACACACCAGCCAGATACGTATAGAGGGAGAATGAGTCTAGAGATCAGGCAAGGCTCAGCTCTGTGGTCAGCCTGCAGGACAGCCAAGAGCTTGATGCTTCTTTCCAAAGACTCAGCAGAGCTGGTATAACAGCAACCTCACCGCTGCAGTCATAGGCCCTAAAAGAAATAATGTGCACAGTACTCGGTACGTGCGCCTGGCATGGGGAAAGAATGCCATTGAATATTAGATGCTATTTGGTATTGATTTTATTAGTGAGGGTGTGAGGCATGGTAGAGGGCTGAGATAGGAATCAAAAGGACTCTTTGAGCCTTACTTTTTCTTCTTGTACCATGTAAGAATTTATGTTTTTCCTTTTCCAGATAGTCGTGAGGAATTTTTTTTAAATATTTGTTTATTTATTTATTATTTATACAGTATTCTGTATGCTTGTATGCCTGCAGGCCAGAAGAGGGCACCAGATCTCATTACAGATGGTTGTGAGGCACCATGTGGTTGCTGGGAATTGAACTCAGGACCTTTGGAAGAGCAGGCAGTGCTCTTAACAACTGAGTCATCTTTCCAGCCCCGTGAGGAATTTTTTTTTTAAGTGTATGAAATGTTGAACTAACTGAAACTGAGCATACAAGCTGCTCTCATCTCCCCTCCCCCATGCCAGAAATCAAACCTACGACTTTGAGCAAGCCAAGCAAGTGCTGCCCCACTGACCTCCATTCCCAGCCATCAGATAGATATTTCTTAAGCTGAGCTAACTTGATAGTGGCTGAAATTTAACTCAGATCTCGAAGCAAATCCTTCAAACAGGAAAGCAGTGTCTTTGCAAAAAAAAAAAAAAATCTTTCTACAGAGTGTTCTGTTGCCTCCGCTTGTTCTGCATTCACAGGCTGATTTTAATATCCAACCAACTCTTGAATTCCCACTTTGAGTACTATCTGCTTTCAGTATTTAATCCCACAGTGACCCTCATAGCACACTCCCAGTTTACTTCCTCTCCTCTGATGAGTAAGTGTGGCTCGAGGGGAATGCCTTTCTTTTAACACTAAACTCAGCAAAGACTGAAATAGAAAGACAAATCGGTAGCAAGGTCAAAATTAGAATTCATAACTAAATATAAATCTAGAGGGAATTATCCAATTACTTGGATGGTCCCTTCTCGCAGACAACTCAGGGTTGATTGACTTTGTGTCTTCCATATATAGAACAAAATGCCAAGGGTAATCTATTGTTCTTGTGAGAAGCAATACGTTTTAATAGTATCTTAAATGCTCCCCCCCCCTGCAAATGCCTTAGTATGTATATATATAGCATATAATTTTCACAACTGCAAGTATTCTCTTTGGAGACCATCTGGTCTTACTTTGACTTGTAGGTCAGAGAGCACTGAGCTGGGAAGACAAAAATTTCCTAAGGGAGTCACTATCAAACTTGGGCAGATTTATCAGTCACTTTGTTTTGGTAGGTGGACTTACAATGGATGGCTCCGAAGGGAAATTCCCAGCTCCCTTTTAAAGTCTCAAGTTAATTTACAGGCTAACAGCTGTTTTTATTGTGATTGGACCAGCCTCAGGAGGGGACTTGGAAGCTTAAAAGACAAATGTGTCACAAGAGGAAGGTAGCCATTAAATGTACGAATTTAATGCAAAGTTCATGCAAATGATAGGCAAACCTTGTATAAATATATAGAATCTTAGTTTGGAGTTTGCCAACAGCAATGGGATCTCATAAGACTTGAAAAGTAATGTTTTTAGATTAAACTAAATTAGTGCCTCTTGAAGTTAGGTTTTCTCAGTCCCTCTAGAACTGCTTAGAGTTTGACACTACCCCATACAAAGATTTCTTTAGTGTTTGAGTCCAGCCCGCATCCAGCCCCGCCCCCTGCAAGTCTGACATCACGTGGCATCATTTGCATACTACCTGGGACTGGGTGTGACGATCCTCCTCTTTGAGCCCTTTCATTGGCAGTGCCGGAGAACCTGCCCTATACCGGAAGGACCAATCGGCAGCCTTAAGGACGTTAAAAAAAAAAGAAAGAAAAGGAAAGAAAAGCAGGAAGGTGGGGTCTTGTGTTGATGGCTGACCATATGGACCAATCATCCTCGGAATAGAAGAGTCTCGCCGTAGATTGGTTGAGGGGCGGTACTGGAACTCTGTAAGCCAATTGGAACTCGGAGCTGAGGGGGCCGGTCCCCGCCCGTAGGGCAGATAAGTAGCGGCCGCGGGGGTTGGGGGCTGTGTGGGGCTCGCCGTGGGGCTGAGGCTGCAGGTAGCCGGGTGGGCCATGTCCGGGGCCGCAGCGGGCGGCAGAGGCGGAGGTTCCTGGGGGCCGGGGCGCGGAGGGGCGGGGGGTCTCCGGCGGGGATGCTCTCCACCGGCGCCCGCTGGCTCCCCCCGGGCCGGGCTGCAGCCACTCAGGGCTACAGTCCCCTTCCAGCTGCAGCAGCCGCACCAGCGCCGGGACGGGGGTGGCCGCGCAGGTGAGCCGGGTCGGAGCGGGTGCAGGGGCGAGGGTCTGGAGAGTACTGGGAAGGTATGAAGGGGAAGTGGATGGGAGGTGAGGGAAGAGAAAAGGGGACGCGCAGAGTTCCGAGGACGGAGGGAGCAAGGCGAGCAGCTGCGAACGTGGGGTGCAACTCTGGGAAGGAGGGGGCCGGGAGTCCGAGCCGGGAGGTGAGGGGAGGGACCTGGCAGATGGAAACTAGCTTTGGGGGGCGTAACCGAAAAGTGGCCCGAAGCGTCTGCCCGGGAGGGGGGGAGTGAGAGGTGCTGGGGTGGGTGCAAGGAGTGTTGTGGGCTCCCTGAGCCGAGGGCTTCACTGGGAGCCGGTGGGCGCTGGACGCCTGCTCGGTGAGGGGGAGGGGCATGGAAGAGAGCCGGGTGGAGCCATGTGTTACTTCTCCAGCTTGAGTTTGGCCCCAGCGTCCCTTTCTATGGCTCTGGAGTTCCTTTCTCCACCACTTCACGTGCGCTTCCCTTTATGCCTCTTCCAGGAGCTGATTTGATCCCAGCCCGTTGGGATAAGTTAGTTTAACGGCTTTTACTGCGGTGCAAACGCACCTCTGTTCCCGATTTTCTACGTTCTTCCTAATGTAGCCCAGAAGTTGTATGTTCCTATATTTTTGACCTGCTTAATATGGCTGTCTCATTCTAGTCATTCTGTGCGTGTGTGCTTGTGTACAGGAGTTGGGCAGTTTGCACCCTACCTCCCACCCCCTCCGAAGGTGGTTTTGTCGTGAGCGTTCCCAGCCAACGTGGCAGTGGAGTGCTTACAATCAAGTATGCTGTGGCAAATACCCCACTTTCTGAACAGCGCCGAAGCAGTTTCTTAATAGCAGCTTGATGTGGTGGGTGTGGGGAAACAAGGGTGGAGCAAATTTAACCTTGCTTTCACACTGGAGGCTGTGATGGGACCCACAAATGCAGGCCCTTTGGAACGGAAAAGGAACCTACTTGCATGAGGAGGTTGGCAATAAGTTAAAAGTGAAGTTTGCATTTGATTCACACCAGATGTGAAAGGATCATTGCACACTTCCTAAGCCTAAGTTTGTACCAAATGTACAAAAGTTATGTCCCTGCCATCTTAACATGACATTCTCTAAACCAGACTCTTAAGCTTTCTGGAGATTACTAAGCTTGCACGTTGCATGGCCCCTTCCTGAAAGTATTCTGTTACAAGAGTCTTGCTAAGTAGGATGGGATTCATCAGGTCTTTGAGGTAGAAAGCCAAGTCTATTTGTACCTGGCTGTATATGTTAATATCACATCCTGGAACGCAGAACTTGGTCAAATCTGGTAGCAAGATGGTGACCAAGTAGTCAAAGTATGTGTAGAATCTGGTGGTGTAGAAGAAGGCAATGCCCAGACAAACTCATGCCTATCATCAACTGTAAAGCAAGCCACAAGACTACAAACCTGTTGGTTTTGTTTGGGCTTCCTTAAAACCCAGGGAAGTTAGAGCTGCAAGCACTAGAACCATGTCACTTGGTGGAAACCAACAGAAGCCTTGTCTGTGCAGTAGTTAGAAACTGTGTAGCAACCATTTTAAGAGCAGTTGTTTTGTGATTCCTGCAGAGCTGGCATTGAAAGGGAAAGCCCTAGTGGGTGCTGTGCAGAGGGGAAGAATGTAGGCTTGGATGCTTTGGTTATTTACATGGTCTGCTCCTTTACAGATTCAGGGTCTCTATAAGGATACTGATGAAAACAGGAAACTAGAGGGCTGTGTAACTTGTCAGGTGACTTAGGGCAGATTGAATGGATTCCTACATTATGTATTTGGTTGGTCCATTGCTTCTCCACCTGTTAATATCCCAGAGGTATTAAATAGGCATTTGCCTATGGGGTAGGATTATCGTTAGGTTTTCAGTAGGTAGGAGAGAGAAAGGAAATCGTAGCCTGAGCCCATTGGTCTTCTTTGTGGCCCCTGGTCTTCGGCTAGGGGCGTTTCAGCCCTGTGCGTGTTAGCCTCACCTTCATGTATTTTTCAGGTTGTTTCTATTCCTTCTATACCTTGAGAAGTGACAGAAGTGTTTTCCTCTAGGCCACTAGGACATGTAACAGGGAAGTCCTTGCTGCCATAGACCCTGAAAAGAATGATGTTAGTAGCCTGGGTTTTGAATACAGGCTCTTCCATTTACCAGCTGGTGTAGTCTTGAGGAAGTTTCTGGACTCCCTTTCTTCTGTGGGCAACAGTCTCTATGTCAGAAGAACTAAACGAGCTCATGAAGCGCTCAGGAGAGTGCCTGGCACTCGGGAGGTGCTGTGTTTCAAAAGCGCATGCTGCTGCACTGCACCGCTGCTCTTCCCCCGCACTGAGCTGCTGTGAGAGCACTGCCGGGGAGAGTCCACTGCCTTTTCAGGCTTCAAAGAACAAACCCAAATTGGTCTGAAACCAGTGCTGCAAGTTTCGGAATTTCGGGGCCCCTTGCATTTTTATTCTGTCATCTTTTAAAATGAGCTTTCTAAACAGAGCTCGGAAACACAACAGTGTAAAAAGGCCTGCGAGCCAGGACCGGGTTTCAGGAACAATTAAGTGTCGTCACTGTTTCTGTTTCCCATCCCAAATGATGTAATACTCTGCCTGTGCAGTTATCTCTCACCGCACACCCTGCTGTGTTCTTGACAAGATAAATTAGGCCTTATATAAAGGGTTATGGTGCAAAGAGTGGGTTTACCTTCTGTGACCATTCATCCAGAAGGGATGTCTTCATAAAGCGAGGAACGGCTTCATTTTTATGAGCTGGAGCTGGAAGAGCTATGAGAAAAATGAGGGCCAACTCTAAGAAAGCTAAGAGCCACTGGTGGGTAACTGAAACCCTTGATACAGTTCTTACTGCAATTGCCCCTTGAATCAAATTCTCTTTTATGTCTTAAGCCAGTTTGAAGAAGCTGCTAACTTTTGCGTTTTTCCAGAACTCATGATGATAGATAAAACAGGAGTAGGAAGTGAAGTTTTCTGGGTTCAGTTCTTACCTATCCTAAAAGTGTTTCAGTCTCCATATCCCTAGACTGGAAACAAGAGCTTTGTGGTGCTAAGGATTGAACCCAGGGCTTTGTGCATGCCACACGAACACTACACATAGCCACATTTCCCACCCCATGAAGATAACACTTAATTAAACTTTGCTAATTATTTCTCTAGCGAACTTGGGAAACCAGATGCTGCTTGGGAACCAATATACTCCACCAAAACCTTCTTAAACCAGGAGTTGGTAATTATAGCCTGTAGGTTATGCCTGGCCCTGTGCCTGTTTTTGTAAATAAAGTTTTATTGGAACATAGCCACCCTCTTTGACGTTAGCTGTGGCTATTTTCATACTGTCAGTGGCAGAGTTTACTCATTGTACAGAAGTTCATCTATCCTTGTCTCGAACTGTACACTTGATTCTCACTCCAATGTAAGAATCAGTTTCAAGAGTGTATAATTTATGCTTCCTCAGAAAACCCTAAGGTAGAGTAAGGTAACAATCATATTTTAGGGGAAAAGGAGCCATCTGTTTCTAGTCAGCCCTCAGTCTTTGTGGCAGATCAGCACGTGTGAGTACCGAGTCCCCACCCCCGTGGTCAGGTGACACGTGTTCAGAAGACATAGCTCATTTGAATTTACACAAAAGCGTAACTGTTAAGCAAATTTGTTCCCCCTCTTTCCTTATGGCCCCCTACCCTCAACCTAACAACACACACTGCAGAGAACATAGTTTTAAAATTATATGAAAATCACTTAGACCTATCTCCTGTATTGAATTTTTTTCATTACCTTTTAGTTCGCCATACAGATCATTGAGAACTAGCTGGTAGTAGTCATGGTTGCCCTAAAATACTAGATTCCCCGGAGGGACATAGGGAGTGTTCTCCTGAGTGGCTATTTCCTGAATATAAGGTGTCATTGTTATTAGGGATGTCATTGCTAATTATTTAATGCCTTTCCTTGTATTGTTTTGAAAACTTAGCCCTTGGAGGATGGGTGTTTAGATGGGTATGAAGCCACATCAAAGAGGTTGTGTATTAGAGGTTCTGAGAGAAGGTGCTCTTCAGACTGTTGTCCTTGTGGCCAGTGATGCCACAAACAGCTGGAAGTTTAAAACAGAGGTGGAACTTTTCTCTGCTAAGGAGTCATCTTGGGGTACAGTTAGAATCCTTAAAGAACTGCAATCGTCCGTTTGTAACCTGTGATTGAGACAGCTTCTATTTGGGAAGCATTAAGCCCACAGGCTTTTCCTAGCCTGATATACTGTCTTCCATAGCTTTGCCAGGCCCCGTCCTTGTCAGTAAGAAGCACATCTCTGAAGCACCTGACCCTTAAACAATTATCAGTAGTGATATCTTTCCTGAAGTCAGGGACTTCCAGTTTCTAGGATGCCATTAGCTGTGGTGATTGTCTATCTTCTGGGTACCCGAAGGAGTGTGGGTGGGTCCATGGGTTCTTAGGTTGTTTGTTTTTTTTTTTTTTTGATAGCACAATATTAGATAGTCTGAGGAGTCCTTATATAATGCAGTTAAAAGACCAGTAGAAGGGGGTGAAAATGTTGTGGGGTGTGGTGGTAATTGGATATTGCTCTCTCTGGTTCCAGATACGGATTTCTAGGAAGGGTTACAAAAATTTCATAGTGATGTGAATTTGAGTGATGTCAAAGCAGTTGGTGGGCTTAATAGCCAGGAGAATTCTCTGCCTGCGTTCTCTGCTGTAGCCAATGTGTTCTGAGTCGTATAGGCCCACGCCAGTCCCTGATCTTAGTAGAACTGTTAGGAATTAAACAGCTGCCTCTGGGTTCTTACCAGTCTCACATTGAGTCTTTCTGCCAAAGGATTCAGACTTCGTGGTGTGACATCCGCTCACAGGTCTGGTTTGGGAATTTTTATAGGTACTGTCCCATGTATCAAGCACTATTTGACACTAGCTTGTGTTCTGCCTGGGCTTACCTGGTCTTGCTCTTGTTCCATGAGCAGCACGGAGCTCTTTTGAGGGCTGGGAAGGTAAACC